CGGTGCCCCCAAGGTGGTTACAAGTTCTGGGAAATAGGATACAGGTGTCTCCCACTTTTTGAAAAATCGTGTTACCACCATTTTGTGTTTAGGAAAGCTCTATATTAGTCCCTGGTTTCAATTTCTAAAGAAATTTGAAGGGATTTTCTTTTTAAGACAACAGCTGGAAAGTGAAACAAGTGTTCAGTGTTTATTTTGCAGTGAGCACAGAAAGGCACAGTCATGCAGGCTGTGCCTTTTATTATGTCAGTTCTGCTTGGAGTATTTTGTGTCTATTTGGTGTAATTTGGCAGGTTAGTTTTGGGATCTGGAGATAGTCAACTTTTTTTTTATGTTAATGAATGGTAATCGCTTCTTTGTATTATGCAATTTCGGTTTTACGAAAGTTGTCCTAGGCATGCCCTACTTTCAGATAAAAGGGGTAGCCTTTACTGAATTTCACTCCAATAGTGATAGAACCACAATCGTTTATACTTACTGGAAAATAAAGTTATTCTCCAAGCTCAAATCAGACTGGGTCCAAAGGCAATAGGAGAGCAAGTGTGTGGTAGAAGTGGGGTTAAACGACTTCATTACAGAACTGCAATGAAATATCCCCTTTAGCTTTAAGCACCAATAAAAGTCCTGCCAGCTATATGTAATCAGTTTATACATATTTACTCTTATAAAATTGTCTAATCTGTATATAAGCTTCATATAACTGTATTTGTTGATAGTTTACATATAAAATATGTGTGTGCTTTATATGATATGTAATTATATATTATATGTTTATTTTGTGTAAATGTACTTGAGCATAACTGTAATTATGAGATATTTGTATGCGTGTATATAGATATGTACATAAACACACACACACACACACATATTCTTCTTGCCAAGGATGTATAGCTTTCCTTATTTGTTCTTGATTGAAAATTCTGTATTAACACACTGAGCAGCAAAACACTTAATTTTTTCTTTTTTGTTTGTACTCTTTTTTTTCTTTTTAAGATTTATTTATTTGTGCATACAGAACTGGGGTACAGGCCAGAGGCTCAGGGGTGGCGAAAGACTTCACTAGAGACAGAGTAGGGAGCAGAACAGGCAGATGGACAAAGTACACTGCTGAGGGGAGCAGCGGGCGGGTCAGGAGAGGTCTGCTGCGCCATGTGGATCTCCTCCAGGGCAGGCAGGAATGGAACTCATGCGGAAGTGGTTTCAGCTTCTTAGTGCAGTGCTTTAACTCGCTGCGTCACCAGCGAGGGCCTGTTGTACTCTTTTAATCCACTCTATTGATGAGCATTTATTTCAGTTTGGGCAAAAAGCAGCATGCCTGACACTGGCTATCTTTTTTTAGTTGTATTAACTAATGACCCGGACTAAAGCTGATTCCTCTGAGAACACCTACCACTCAAACCCTGGAATATTTTCCCCTTTATAACAATATCTTATATTCTCTATTTTATCAATAAGATTTCAACTAAAAGAAAGGAGTGAAACTATTATAGTAAAGGACACACACACACACTGTTATTACCTACTTAACTGTATGTACAAACATTTGTTCTCTTTATTCCCATAATGTTTCTGCACCTTGTGTATATACACATACCTTGTGGATATGTGACATATACATATCTGACATATACATGTACATTCTGGCATCGGCTGCTGGATTATGTGCCCTGTTCATTGCCTCTGGTGTTTTTCCACCTGCCACACTGATGAGACCCAGGCCTGTCATAGCTGGGAGGAGACATCACAAAGTGCTGAGCAGGGCTAGACTTGGCTGGACTTGATCACAGAACAAGTGTGATTTAGATCTAGGTGTTTCTGCTGTTGTGCAGTGACTTTCTAAAGTTCATTATCTATCATTGTCTAATTACCAATATGAGACTTTGAGTATGACAGAGTGTGAGATTGTGAATTGAGTATGCTGGTGGTTGTGGGCAGTACTACATATTTTTGTTGGTCAATCTAATGAAGGTTCTCTCATTTTATTTTTAGTTCCTTGAGAAGATGACTATCAGGAAGGATTGTAAAATGTGTAATAGGACTCCTATAAAATAATTCAAGCATAGAAGAATCATGGAAATGATCAGATAGATTTTACTTCTTATGTCCTTGGCTAGTACTCTCTCACTTTAAATATTAAACAAAACTTATGATGAATGTCTCACTGTGGATGCCAAAGTTTGACTTGTAAGCACCCGTGAATTTCACACCTAATACTTACAAACATTTTACAATGTCCTTCTGTTTCAGTTAATCAATATTCTGTGTTTTACCAATTATGGGATCAGTATTAACATATTGTCTTCTTACACTTCTATAGCATTGTCAATATTACCTAATTATATCAACTATTTGTAAAACTAAATAAAACTATAAACAGAATTATTCTACTGAATTTCCCCAAAGTATTATTTTTCCTGGTTTTGAGTATCTTTTATTCTTTCATTAGAATATAGTTTTCATTCATTTTGAATTAAAGTTACTCAGGCTTTTCTTCCTTTTTCAGGTATTTTAGTCTTGATAATCTATATGTAGCTATAGCATAAGGTTATAAAGTTTTATGGAAATTCATGATGACATTTTTAAATTAAAAAATGTTATTGCTCATGTTAGGAAAATCATAAAATGCAGATTTTCATGTAGGAAAAAAACCAAAGATTTTAATAAAGTATACATCTCTCAGGGAAAAAAAAGAAAAATAAAATGTTTAGAATCAACAATAACCATTCTTTACTCATTAGAATGTATTCTTCCAGATCTTCCTCTGTGAAACCCACTCGGAATAATGTAATCAAATGAATTTATGAAAATGATATTGAATGCCAAAGTTTTATCAATTCGTGCATCTGCCTTTAAATATAAAATCTCTGGATGGTGGCCTGATAGCTTCTGGATCTGTCATGACTCATCTCAATAATCTGTACGAAGGACTCACTACATTGCAGTCAATGCTGCAAATGAGTCTTGTCTTTACCATCTTAGTGAGGTCAGACACATTAGGAATCCTTGATAGAAGCACTGAGCCCCAGAGAGTCAGCACAGTGCTGTAAAATTAACTTCTTAATGAGAATCATATAGGGTAGAATTCCATAGTGAGTAAGACTCCTAGTAAGACTGTGAGTGTTGGTTTGGTAGACGTTTAAGCAGGAAAGCAAATCAGAATGAGTTACTGATCCAGAATGGACACTTTTCCCAGAGTCCTTTGCTGTTTCAACTCCTCAGACTGGCTCACATCTTTGGCAGCCCACAGGAACAATAAAAGTAGAGCTATTGCTCTTGCAAGTCTGGAGGAAGAGGCCATCCAGTTCTGCAAGGCAAGCTGAAGCAGGATTTTGGCAATCAGTCCTGGGATTTTAGTATTCAAGAGCTGAGTAGTAGATGGTATAGGCAATGGTGGTTGGAGAAATCCATTTCTTTTTCCTGGCTGCATTGTTCCTGACTTTGTTGCATTCAAACTTAATTCTTAGAAGGGACTCGTTTGGTTTTAATTGTGAGACAACTAAATTCAACAGAAGTAGTTGCCAGATCAACCTAAATGGGAAGAAATCCAAACTGCCTGCCAACATATAGCCTGCATTCCTACCTCCATGACTACTTTGTTGGTGAGATCACTGGCTAATATTGGAGTGCCTGAAGAAAGAAGAAGGTTGTCATGCAGATGACTGTCAACTTTTTAACCTGTTTTTGGAGCTATTTTTCTGTAGTGGAGGCCTTCTGGTGGGTATTCCCAAAGAACCAGGAATTCTCATCCTCTAGATCCATACTCAATGGTCCCCTTGATAGTCCTTCCTCCACATACCTCCCAATAGCTCTACATTCTTAATCTTTCCAAGTTTCTGGCTGTTGAGCTAGACCATCAACTACTAGGTGTTAATTCATGACTTATGTACCCCAATCCATTTCTCCTTTTTGACAAAGTGGTCCACAGGGTGAAATGTATAGGCTAATTCTCTTAGGACTGGTGCCATCATCTTCTGCAGGTCTTCTGTTCCTGAATTTAGGAAATACTCCTAGTTCATATTTTGTAGACTGAGGAATGGTAGTATGGTAGAAGCAGAGACACAATGCATTTTTGTGTGTCTTTAATTTCTGCTCCAGACCAAGCCTATATAGAAATTTTCTGCTTCTTTCTGAGAAGTAATATAATCTTACAATTAAACATGTGGACTTTGAAACTTGAGCGCTTAGGTTCAAACCAAACTCTGCTCCTTATTATTTATGTGACAATGAAACATATTGTTTATTCCCTCTGCTTCAGTTTTATCATCCATAAAATAGGGATAATCACAATATTAACAGTGTTATCTCCCAGAATTATGGAGAAAATGAAAAGAACTGTTGCAAGAAAAGTGGTTGGGACAGAGCCTGGCACATATACGAAGTGTTAGATGATTTCGTAGCTTGGTGGATCAGATAACTCCCAGTTTGAGATGGGCCCCAGTTGCTTGGTTACCTAACATTCCATGCTCAGACTGCAGCATTTACGGTGCCAAGTAACAAACCAAGCTTAGTTTCTCAAAGGGAAAACAGTTATATATCACAGAGTTGGTGGCTCAACGTCAAACCCCAGCGGGCCCGTTTTCTAGCTCTCTTTTCTGGACATGCCAGAACTCCACCATGGCCCTATCTGCCACAGGAGCTCAAGGCACACTGGATCCCTGATCAGAGACAGAAATTCCTGGATCACTCTTGCTTCAGGCTGTACTCAAAGCTTTTGTACTCTCTCAGAGAGACTTGGAATGGTTACCAAAGAAATGATTTGAAATAGCACATATAACTCTGGCCTCCAAAATCTAAAAAAAGTGCAAATATCATACCATGATAAATGTTTTCTAGTAACTCAATAGAATAGATGTTGATAATCTCAAGAACATACATACTAACAAAAAAGTTATTAATAACTAGGAATATTTGATATAATGAACTGTAAGTGTGTTTAACGTAAACTTTAATAATGACTGTTTACCACATTCTTAAAAATGTGGCAATTGGCTTTGTGAGCTGGTATAAGCTGCCTCTAACACATCACTGATGGTAGGGTTCCGTACAGGTAATGAGGGATGTTAGGGGTAAGGGATGAAAAGACTTGTCTTCCTCAACCTCCACCAACCAAATTACCTGCAAAAAAGTTCATCATAGAGTCTTCATGTTCCATGGGAAGAATCCCACTATACTGGGGAGGAGTAGAGACAAAGATGTCTGCATTAGCTTGGATCTCCCAAGAAGCAGGTGGCAAAGTGGAATTAAAAGTTCAAGACATAATGTTGGGTGGAGCAGGAGAATGTAGGAAGAGCCTTTAGAGTATGAGGCATGTATGAGCCCTATGGAAGGCAAGAGGGAAGGAAGGATTGGTAAAAGAAGACTTAAACGACAACAAAATTCAAATAAAGGTTTGGCCAGGTCAATGGAGAATCTTTGAGTCAGAGCTGCCAAGAGGAGGGGTCTCGTATCTTGCCAGAAAGGGCCTGCGTTGGTACTTCTTTGTGCTCAGTCTTTGGCTGGGAGCAGCCCAAAGGCACATGGCCTCAATGTGATAGTGGACAATCCAGGGGGACAGCAGCTGGGTCTGGAACTCTCCCAACAGGCGATCTGCACAGTGTGATTCCATGGAGCTGGGGCTTAGGGGACCTGAAGCCATCTGTATCTTCCTATGTTTTCACATTTCAGCATTCAGGGTTTTTACTCCTTCCCAATCACAGCCCTATTTTCAAATGAGAGAACTGGCAAAGTCTGTAAATTCAAATGATATTTTGATTCAAGTTAAAGAACAGTCATTTCTTTAACCAAAACCTGCAGACCAAATAGAAGCTATGATGAGGGCCAAGTTTGGGGTGTCCCTTACCCCTTTCTTTTTGTTTTGTTTTCTTTCTTTTTTCAATATTTAATTTATTCCTATGCCACCCATCCTAAAATGTTAATAAATGTTAATAAATTTGGCCAGGTGCCAGGTTCTGCCCTTTGTTGCTCTCCTGCAGAAATTTACCCCACAAGAAACTGAAACATTTAATACTCCACAAAGCACACATTGTTCCAGTTGTTCTATTCTTTCTGGGAGCTGCTGCTTTTCAGATTAACTCACAAAACCAGCCAGCCAGAGTCAACCTGGCACTAACAACAGCTAGGGAAGAACTAACATGTGATGAACAGAAGCAGAGAGGTTAGGATGCAGCACTGTAAGCTAACCACAGCCACTTCAGCATGAGTTTGATTCCCATCGGGAGGTGATCCACATGGTGCTGCAGACCTCTCCTGACCCTTCCGCTGCTCTCTTCAGCAGTGTTCTTCCTCGATCTGCCTATTCTGCTCCCCACTCTATGTCTGGTGAATCCTCTCACCGCCCCTGCACCTCTGGCCTATACCCCAGTTCTGTATGCATAAATAAATCAATCTTAAAAAAAAAAAGAATTGGCCTTAAATATATATGTATCTTTGAGAGCTAGGTGGTGTTCTTTCAGTTCATGTAAATGTTATTTTACTAAAGATCTTACTGTTTCATCACCATTATGGAGTTAAGACTTAATTGTGTGGCTGTGTTAGGTCTAGTTCCTTGTTCTAACTACTGCATCTTAGTCATGGCATCTACCATGTTTTACTTGTTTTTTCCTATGATGGGCAGCTAGGTGGCCTTGAACTTAATCTTGTCCCAAACAATACGATGTGTTCTCTTATTGTGCAACTGTTTCCTCTGGGCCAGACTTGTTTAGGTTGGGATGTTACACACAACACATACCAAATGTACATTTTCCCAGCTTGTTTTCCAGATTATACTTGTTACTCTCCAACCAAGAAGGTTAATGTCATCTTTCTAATATTTGCCTTTCTGGTGGATGTAAAGTGGTATAAGGTGTTGCTTTAATTTGCAATTATCTAATTGTTGGTGAGTTCAAGCATGTCTGCATGTTTTATCCAGCCAAAAATTACTGTGAGTGCCTGTTATGTTTGAGCCATTATTGCAGGCACTGGGGAATTTTATTTTGGAGCACATTTTTTTTTTGTTGTTGTTGTTCCCTTGTCAATCTATTTACTTACTTACTAAAGATTTATTTATTTATGCATACAAGAGCTGGAGTGTAGGTTAGAGGTGCAGAGTGGGTGAAAGGACTCACCAGAGAGAGTGGGGGGCAGAACAGACAGATCAACTGAAACACATTGCTGAGGGGAGCAGCTGGCAAGACAGGAGAGGTCTGCTGCATAATGTGGGTCACCTCCCTGGCTGGGGATCAAACTCGTGCTTCAGTGGCTGCGGAGAGCTTCATAGTGCTGCGCTCTAACCTGTTGTGCCACCAGGGTGGGCCCTTCCTTGTCAATTCATAAGAT